GTATTCTACTGCCACCATAGATAGCATATGATTTCTTGCTAAACGCCTAAAATAGGGATTTTCAGGCTTCATCTTCATAATCATGTACAACTATTGCTGATAATTGAACACCTTTAGAATCTGTTATCTCCAGGAAGGTGCCGCCATGGGACCATATCAGTCGAGGTGAGGATTTTATTCAGTCGTTACCTCCACTGCCGTTTGATTTTAGATATTCATCTTTGTTTTCTTTGCTTTCAAGATATCGTCAACCACCAAGGAGATCTTCAATGCAAACTTTCAGTTGGATTTGTGTTGGCGAGTTTCCTCAAGGTAAGTTTTTTCAACCCTCAATCCGTTCTTCCTTTTTCCATAATTAATGAACTAATTACCTAACTTGCCATTGTAATTGTTTACAGATTTGTCAGTCAGTTTTCGGATTTCGCTACAGGTGCCCTGTCAGAACCAGCAGTCTCAGGTTGCTTCATGTGGCTAGTCAGCTTAAAGAAGCCTAACAAGATGCAGCCTTACGACATGTGCAAAGTTTCTGAATGCTCTCATTTCTGAACTGGTGAAGAGGAGATATATTTTATGATTTACGCTGTGATAATTGACAGCAAATATCCTCTGCTGCTGTTTATGGATAAATACGCGTACTATGCTATTCTATCTAGTTGATTCTTTTCCTGTAAGCTTTGAAAATAAACCAATTACTATGCACTTGTGATCTTTTTATTTTAGTGTCCATAGGTACTTTTGTACTTTATGACTTCAGTTGTCAAAGCAATGAGGCCGGCACTACTTAGCAAAAGTTATTGTTCCTCTAAATCTAAACTTTGTTGCTGATGCTAAAGCCTTCCAGTTTCTAGTTTGGAGTACTTCCATTGTGAAGCCTGACTGATAGTGGTAAGGCCAATATCTCTACTCTCAAAATACGGAGCTGAAATATATAATTTCTCCATCGCTTTTCATGTCGTTTCCTCTAACGGAGCTCTCAGAATGAATGTTTGTCAAGGTGATGCGAAAGGGACGCCCCTGACGATTTCCGTAGTTTAGTTCTTGCACCTGGGCGCCGCCAGGGTGATCAGCCGACTCCGCAGGGCTGTTCGGCGGGCTTGCCTACCCAGGTGTTTGCAGGCAGGAGTGGTCCTGACCCCTGACCGAGAAGGAATAAGGGCAACACAGGGATTTCAAAGGTGTTAGTTGAATCAAACTTTTGATAAATTTTGACTTTAGCGGCGCCGCAGGCCAAGGTAGGCGCACATTTAGCTCAGCCTCACACGGTTTTAGCGTGCGTCTACCTTGTAAAGAGAGTGGATTTTCATTCAAAAAGTAGGGAAATCAGAGGCCTTAAAGGGCATCTCTGCGCCTGCCCTGCTGCGACCCAGAGACTCGGGGTCACGTCCGGCTCTGACCCTGACCCGCACACGCCCACCTGCCACGGCCGAATTTTTTCGGCACGACTTGTGCTCGGTCGGAGGTCAGCAAATTTTGGGCGCGCAATAATTGGCTCGAGGTGTTTAATGGATGCGGCTGCGTGCGGAGGGCGGTCCGCGTCGACGAGTCACCCCGACCCACCGGGGGGGTCGAACGCAGCTGTACGCGTCAGGGGCGTTGATCTCACCCCTTCAGGTGGTGGGGTGGGCCGCAGAGGAACACTCGGAGGCACAGTCTGGCACGAACCCCGGCGTCGGTCGTCGGTATCCAGTCGGTTAGCGTGGGCATTCCCTCTCCAGAGTGCAGGCGGGGCACGGGCCGCCCCCGCAGCCGAGATGGACGGCGACGAGTTGTCGCTCTACGAGGAGTCGGAGGACTTGGACGCCGTCGTCGACGACGAAGGTAAAGTTGTAGACGAGTACGCAAGCATCTTCCGGCTGCTGGAGCAGAGATTTTCTCATGCCGTGAAGTGTCCGCGCAGAGTCCGACTTCGACGGCGATGACGAGGACGTGCACAAGGAGCCCGCCTACATGGTGTCCCGGTACGTGCGGCGGGCCAGGAACGTCCTGATGGGCGCCTGGGGCAAGCACCCGCACGGCCAAGTCATCCACGTCCTGATCGCGGCCACGACGGCGCCGCTGCAGCGGCCGCTCGCCGTGCTGCAGGCCTCGCTCAGCTTCGTGCTCGCCGTGCGCCACGTGCTCAACCGGGACGTGATCGCCCTCATGCCGCTCATCATCGACTTCGTCTACCTGTCGGGCGTCTACATCCTGAGCAGGTCGACGCCCACCTTCGTCCCGGCCTTCGTCGCCTGGCTGGAGCGAGCCGAGGTCGTCATCAGTAAGGGCCGGTGCCGTACACGCCATGCAGGTGTCATTCAAGACAACGACGAGAGTCGTAGTCGTACTCATTCGCCGTCTTTCCCCAGCCGAGTTGGAGGAGAACGTGACCCAGGAGCACGTCCGGGAGCTGCGGATGCGCATGCGTCTGGGCCGCACCCTCTTCATCTTCTCGTTCTTCAACATGGGCAGCCTGGCGCTGGCCATTGTGCTCACCCCGCTCGTCACCAAGACGGCCTTCTTCGGGGTGCTCCCGCACGCCGGCGCCTACGGCACCGCCTTCTTCGCCGAGTACGCCGTGCTGACCTACACGCTGCTCCCCATGGCGCTGAGCATCGTGCTCAAGCAGTGCTGCCACGCCGAGGGCGGCACCAAGATCGTCGCCATGTACCGCATGCTGCACAACGACATGCTGGCCGCGCGGACGTACGAGCAGGTGCAGCGCACCGCGCGGCTGCACAGCCGGACGCTGATCCTCAGCAAGGTGAGTGGGAGTCCGGACGAAGGGTGCTTCACTATCAATTCAAGCGTACTTACACCAATTTTTGGGGAAAATCCCTCAAATTTACTGAGCTATTCTTTCTGATATTGTTTTGGAGGGTGCCCCCCTGCTTTTTGAGTGAAATATACCCCTCGAATCCCTTTCGCCAGGAGCTCAACGACCTCTACAGCCCGTTCCTGTCGGCCGTGTACTGGGGCGGCAACACGGCCGTCATGGTGTGCGCGCTGCAGACGCTCTTCGACGGCCCCACGACGCGCGGCGTGCTGACGGGCATCACGGCCGTCATGAGCTACGCCTGGCTGTGCGTGCTGGGCGAGAAGCTGGCCCGGGGCAGCGGCGGCGTGGTGAGCGCGGTGCACCGCTGCGAGTGGCTGTACCTGGAGCCGCGCGCGCGCCGGGTCGTCGTCTTCCTTCTCAAGCGCGCGCAGCGCTGCGACTCGGTGCGGCCGCGCTTCGTCGGCGACATGACGTTCAACTTCTTCATGAACGCCGTCATCACGTGGTACCAGGAGGTGCAGTTCGTGTACCAGGTCATGAGCAAGGACCGCAGTCGCCGGGCCAACGACGGCTAGAGGAAGGTGGCCGAGTAGGGGTAAAATAACAAGTGTTTTTGGTTTGTATGTATATGTTGTCCCGCTCTTCCATCTCGCCCGCGGCGTACCGAGGACCGAGGGTCGGTAGGTCGTGTTTGGCCTCCCCGAACCCGTGGGCTGTTTAGGATCACTAGCGTATACTGCTGGGGCGTTTCTCCGTTTTACTCGTTTGCCTTTTTGACGGGGCCCAACCCCCGACTCTTTATGACTCTCGCTACGAAGCAGCGCGGCCCGCCCTTTACTCTGCCGCGTACGTCGCTTTTTTTTTTACATCCCGAGCGAAGGTGGTGTGTGTGCCGAGATGCAGGTACGGGGCACTGTAGCAGTGGTAGAGTATGGCCCGGGGGCGGCGCGGGAGGGTTGCAGTCCAACGGCTCAGAGTGGGCGGTCTGCCTCCCCTCCGGCATACGTGCAACTTAGAGAAAGACAAACAACGTCGTCCCGCCGTACATGCATCCCCATCCAGTGAGAGACAAACGGGTCACTCACCCTTCCCCCCTGCGCGTCGTCGTCGCCGTCGACGTCGTCGTCGTCGTGGATTTTATTGTGACCTCGTTTTATTGAGTACTAGGAAGGGGCGGGTAATTTTCAAAGCACCGTCCGTTCCACTGCGTTTGCTTTCGTCCGCGCCTCATAAATCGGGCCGGGGCGACGCGCCGGTGGTGGTCATTCCCCCCGCGAGGTGCTTCGGCCAGTGGCGGGAATAGGCTCGGGGCACCGTCCAAATGGAATCGGAAAAGTCGCCCCGCGTCGCGTCTCCTCGTCTCCTAGTATAGGGTTCGCCCAGAGAATACGCGTCCGTTTTGCCCTCAGATTCAATCCATGAGAGTATACTCCATGTTCAATCGGCAAATTGCGGGGAGCTCGGCGCCCGCGAGAGTCGGGGTAGGCCATACCGCAATACACGCGTGCACTGCAAGCAAAATGTTGCCTACCCATCAGGCGCTACGAGAGCTTCTCTCTTGGGGTGATCTTTGCGTTTACGTAAGACGTAAGGAGAAAATGTCACTTCGTTATCCATGTCTGAAAAAAAACAACGATGAAAATAAACACGGCAGACGTTGTAAGTTAATGAAGCTAATAATCACTACACTTGAGGCACATCTGGCAAACAACTCTCCTGGTCGGTCAAGGCGACTGTACAGTAGACGTTGAGCGATTAACAGGAAGTCTGGCAGCCAGCTCAGTACGTGAGCTAACGTGGCGAGGTCAGGCCGTCTTTCAATCCGTTCAATCAAGTAAGTGGGATCGCCGGGGCCCGGTGACTTTCAGCGGGAGCGCGGCGCACGACAAAGGCGCCAGCAGGCAGCGTACGGCGGTGACTCGTTCAGAGTGTCAGGAATAACGTAAGTTTTGTAGAGCATCGCAAAGGCGGACGGACTGGCCCACCCCACATGCCCGCGTGCAAAATAGTCAGGTTTCATTTCTTTTTCAATCAATTGGAAACGTCGACGGGATATTGTGAGGAAACTTTGGCCATCTACGTGTCGGAGAATGTATATAGAACCATGCTGACGGCGAGACTCCGTGCTTGCTCCGTGCGCGGCGGTAGTGGGTCGATACTCCGGCCCTCGCCTCTACGGACGGTGTATGTCCACCGACGACTTGTTTGTTTGATCGTTCAAACACCTCAATGAAATGTCAAATTTGAGAAAGAAAAACCTCGCCATCCACTCAACTTCTTTTCTTTCCCTCAATAAGTGCAGAAATAAACAAAAAAGAAACAATCTACTGTGATGATTGCGCTGTATATAGGCCTCTGCTGCGATGCATTCTTCCGCACAGTCAAAGGCAAGTTTTACGGAGGGAGTAGAGTATGCAGAGTGTCTCTCTGACCTAATCCTCCCGGCCTGTCTCTTGACTCGCTCTTATCCCCCTCTCCCCCTCTCCGTCCCCTCACACCCCCTCATCCCCGTTTCTGCCGCCAACAGCAGAGGGAATAATTTCCCCTCTCTATGTCCGACTGCTGCCCCTCTAAGCACACGCGGGGGACGGCAGAACTTGGATTATAAACTTTTTCCTCTGAAGAAAAATATTTCCCCCCTTCTGCTGGCCGAGAGCGCCATTGTCGAGCTGCTCATTCATGTGAGGAGAACTCTTCCCGCTTCCGTCTTGCAGTAGTATAATTGGACGTTACGCGGCCACATCCCCCACCCCCCTCGAACGTATTTTCTATTCAACGGTCACGACGGGCGCCGTTCGCTCTTGTTTTTCGTTTTTCGGCGCCAAAAAACTTGTTTTGCCGTATTTATTTTCGGCTCCCTTCCGCCTTTGCCGTCCTGTGTTCAGTGTGCTGCTTCTCCGCAACCACCGCCGTCTGCTTTGTTTGGTATCGTGGAATGAATATCGGAATGTTCTCGCCCGAGAGCTGCCCGGCTCGGCCCGGGCGGCGGCGGCGGCCGGTGCGGCAGAGCAGCGAGAAGGGTTGCGGCCGGCTCCGCCCCCCCCCCACCCC